GCTGCTGGGTAGCCAGAAATGCCAGACGCATATCCACTGCAGATCTCCACTGGGGGGGCGGGGGGGATGGAAAGTGGAAGGGAACATAAAAAGCTTTGCAGAGGTATTGATAGCTCACCTGAGCTCTGAAACAAGGAAGGAAGTTAGCTGAGTAAAGACAGATCTGGAAGAGTGTCCAAACACAGACAGAATAACAGGTGCGTAAGCTTGGAGATGGGGAACTGCACTAGTTCAGTGTAGCTGGAGTAGACTTGGAAGGGGGAATGGCCAGAGACGAGGCTGGAGAGGTGAGCAGGGCCAAAACCCTAAAATCGTGAATCCTTTAGGCTGCAAAGCAAAGCAAAGCAGAAGCTGAAACAAGGTAGCCAGTGTTTTCCAGAGAGACTGACAAAGATGATGGTTCCACATTCCAAGACCGTCCGTGGAAGTGTCTCTGATGTTCTGTTTCTTCTTTTATTGAAAGCAAATCACTGCATCTCACTTAAAAACTCCCTGTAAATAGAGATCCCTCACCATTATGGAGAATTTCTCCCATAAAATCACACTGATGTGGGCTGTTGATAAAAGCATGAAATACTCCTTGCAGAAGACGTCACTTTGTATTCATGTTGGAAACATCATCGACTCCCTTTGGAAATCAGCACAAGAGCCGCATTCCTCTGCCTCTGGTCTGCAGGGCCCACCTCACACCTCTTGGCCCGTGTAAGGTGGAGCTCATACCACACGCATCCTGCACACAGACGTCCTCAGCAGTGCCCATCCCCGCCGACACCTCCTAATCTGCTGGTCTTGAGTACCTCACGCACCTCATGTTTTCAGGTACCAATATACTGTCTATTATTATATTCTCTCACAATGAAAAGCAAAGGGAGCTCTCAACACATTTCACATGTAAAGATTCCTTTTTGTGAGATCTCCCAGGAGGAGGAAGCTGGAGCATGATCTGAGTATTTAGCATTACTGTTTTATGGAAACAGTAAGAGCTCCTAACCAGAGCTCCCTCGCACAGAGAGGGCTCAGTCTCAATGCCAAATTAACGTGCAGGCCAATTCAGGGCTCCTCAAGGGAGTGTCCTCTCCCTGAGACAGGGTTCATACCAGTAAGCAAGGCAGGGATGTGACCGCTCTCCCAGAACCTGCTGCCCCAGTTATCCATCATGGCCGAGTCATGGGATTCAGAGGGGAAAAAATCACGGTTCCAAAGCTGTGTGAGTCCCTTCTGTTCGTAAGCCTGGGCTTAGCAGAAAAAAGTGAACAGACATTTACAGAAGACAGTTTTCCTAGCTACATCCCTATTTAGTACAAGGGAGAGAAAGAGCATTATCTCTTTAAAGCACAAGAGGGCTGTATGCAAACCCCTTCTCTAAGTCATGGCTTTGCCTTTAAAATGAAGAGATGGCAAAGGAAATAGGTTATTTCCTCTATAGATCATCACTCCTAAGACCTTGAGTCCAGAGCCTTTCCTTCTAAGTAAATGCCCCAGCATCCAGAAAGGTGGTCATCTAATGCTTTTTGAAGGTGTCTTTGCATAAGAACCCTTTAGGGTGCATCTTAGATTGATTTCAACCAACGGAGCTGAAACCTGACAGTGCAGAGTTGGCTTCAAGTCCCCTGAGAAAAGGCACTGAGATGCCACTTGGACCTAAAGGTACTTTCTCATTGGTGTGTGGTTTTGTTTCTCCTCTCTGTTTCTCTCCTGCCTCTTGTTCTTCTCCCTCAGTCAGAAGCATCCTCCTGTGCTTTCTGCTTATCCCTGGCTCATGGTAGCTGACACAGCCCCCAACTCTCTATTCCTTTTCCAGAAGCAGTGCCCCCCAGTTACCTACTCAATCTTTCAGGTACCCAAATCCAAACTCCCAAATGCGGATTCCAGTTGTTTCTATGCCTGGCTGCCTGTCATCATCTGCTAGTCCGAGTAAGGTGGGCACCAGGCACACAGCACCCTTGTGCTCATTCTTTAAGGGCTGTGTAAAGGTAGCTTCTCTTAGATGGGATGTGGGCAGAGCAGGATGTTAAAGCTGTATTAGCCCTCTATTGCTGTGTGACAAATTGCCCCCAAATTTACATCATTAAAAAAAATAATAAACATTTATCATCTCATAGTTTCTGTGGGTCAGGAATTTGGTAACAACTTAGCTAAGCAGTTCTAGCTCAAAATCTCTCATGTGGTTGCAGTTGGGATGTCAGCTAAGACTCCAGTCATCTGAAGCTCGACTGGGGCTGGAGGATCCCCATCCAAAGTATCTCACTTACATGCTTGCAAGTTGATGTTAGTTTTTTCCAGGAGACCTCAGTTCCACCCCATCTGAACTTTTTCATGGGCTTTTTGAGTATCTTCATGACATGACAGCAGACTTTCCCATGAGCAGGTAGTCCAAGAAAGACTAGATTGAAGCCCCACTATCTCTTAGGACTTAGCTTCAGAAGTCACACTGTGTTTTTTCTATCATATCCTATTGGTTACACAGGTTAGCCCTATTCATATTGGAAGGGGACTATGCAATGACATGAACACCAGGTGACGAGGCTCACTGGGGGCCACCTTGGAGGCTGGCTACTGCAAGAGTCAGCACCCGCACAGGTATCTAGGGACACTGATGCAACATCTTCACGGAGTGGCTCATGTCAGTGTTCTTCTCCGAAGTGATCAAGATGCTCTCTTTTCTGTGCAACTGGAGTCTCTTGTTTTAAATTCAAAATGATTGCCAACGTTTTGTGCCTTAGAGTGAGAGATGCTGTACAGCTGGTTAACTACATGCTCATGATTTGTAGGACACCATTCACCCCAGAGATCTGTTCTAATTTTCCTGGAAATGTGTTTCATGAGCCCCTGCAGAGAGCCGTGCCTAGCTCAGTGTGAAGCTCTGAGAGGTGGGTGCCTGTATGTATTAACTGGTGAGAGTGATTGATGAGCTGGTGAGTGGAGGCAACTCTCTTAAAAGAAGGTAGGGGAGGAGCAAAGAAACCCATGACTTGGGTGTGAGAAAGCTGAACGTTCAGTAGCTGTGACCTCTACACCGTTGGCCACTTTTTCAGAACCAACCCAGAGTTGGCAGGGGCCACAAGGAGCTAAGTAGAAAAAAATAAAATTGAATGTGCTCAGTGCCAAAAAAGGAATGATTCTAGGAAAAAGGTGAAATTCTGAAGGCTGGGCCCAAAAAACTGTGTGCTTCAGATCTCTTACGAGAGCAGAGCAATATTTTGTGGCGAGCCCAGAAGCTGGCTCCTAATCCTCCAATCAGGTGCCCTGCCTGTGGAATCCGTTGTGTAGGGTAGACCAGGACTAAAAGCCAATTTTGAATTTTGATTTTGTTGTGCAGTCATTGACAAAGAACTTGGCCGCTTGAGAGTAGTGCAAAATTAGGTAAGAATTATCATCTGTCAGAGCTGCTGTTTCTTCATCTGTTAAAAAAAAAATAAAGATTAGTAATAACAATAACCACCTTGTCTACTCCCTGATGGTGTTCTAAGTATCAGGTTCTAGAAAGCAGGTACAGATTTGAAACAGTCAGGGAAGCTCCATACTGGCCCAGTGAGGATTGGGGACCATTGTAACGCTTTTACTTTGAATCACAGTCGCTCCTACTTCAGGCATGTGAGTAGCAGGGGGAGAAGGAGCTGATCCAAGTGTAAGACACAGAAACTGATAGAGTTACCCACCGCAAGGGCCTCCGCGGAACCAGTAATGGTGATCGCTGCCATCTGGGGCTTTATGGGAATATTAGGGGCACGCATTAGACAAGTCTTTCCTTAAATTCAAGCATGTGAACAATAAAGCTCAGAATTTGTGGGCATGTACTTCTCTGTGGGACCAGGGACTTGCAGGATGCCACTCTTCAGACAATGAAGGAGAGAGCAGACGCAGGTGGTGGCAGAAATAAGGACGCGAGCATGAGGGAGTCCGGATGCCGTTCAAGCTGCTGGACCCCTTGCTTCTCAGGTCCAGCTGCAGTCCTGCCCTGGTTCCTGGAGAGCCACCCCCTCCCCTCGTCATAAATTTCACTGTCTGTGTAAGTTAAGGGTCTGATTGCTGTCATTCAGAATCAAATGGGTCTAAATGACATTGTTTCTGTAAAAGGAATGGTGTGTTTCAGTTGATGATTCCAGGAGAATTGACACAGAGCTCGTGCAGCCAGAGGCTGTCCTATTACTGAGAGACACAGGAGCATGATGGTTAAGGTCCAGACCTGGGATAGAGACCACCTGGGTCCAGGTCTCTGGAAAAAATCCCTTAACCTCTCTGTGACTGACTTCTTTATCTAGCAAATGCTGATCACAACAGCAACAATAATAATATTACCTACCTTAGAGGAATGTTGTGAGCATGTAATGAGAGATTGCATGATCCAGGTCAGTTACTGCTTTATTTTATGGGAAAAAATGTCACCAAGTTCCCAGCTGTGGCTCCAATCTGGACCCTTAGAAAACCTACTTATCATCACACGCATATGGGGGGAAATGCCTCTGAGTGCTGAAATGAGTCATTGTTCCTGGTGATAATTGGACAACTTGAAAGTGATCAAAATTTTGTATTGAAATTGGCTGCCACTGCCACATGGAAGATAGCTGATACCCCTAAGCTTCAAACGGGGAACTCCAGCTGAAACTTTGCATCCATGCTCAAAAATCCTGGAAATAGCAATTGATAATTGAGATTCTGGTTGAAGCTTAGTGAACAAAGATGCTCTAATTAAATTCTGCATAGCAGCTAATTAACCCATTTGTGTGTTTTCTTCCTTTGTGCAATAGGGGAAGCGCATTATCAACACTCATATACTTGCGATCTACCAGTATGTTTTGTGTGATCTTTCTCACCTTGAGTAAAATGGGAAGGATAAAAGGCCATCCACGGAATCCCCAAGACATAATTCATCTGTCCGAGGCTTCTGCTTACTTTTATCATTAGCTCTGGGAAGCCCACGCATGCTTTGCTCTTCAGGCAGATGATGGAAGTCCTTTTGAAGGACTACTACCACTAATCAGATCTGTCTCCTGACACAGGGTCCTACAGATCATCTCGGAGTTGGCCGCTCAAGTCACCTAGAGGAAAGGGCCTTGTGCCAGTGTCCAGTGTGGACAGCTCTCCTAACTGCTTAGCATTCAGAGAAGCTTTCCTTGCTACAGTGCTAAGTGATTGACAGGCAGGTGAGTATTTCTGGATGAAGAGTCCTCCCGCCCACTCCAGCCTTGTGGCATGTGGCAAAGGTATTTGTTTCCTTGGAAGGAAGTGATTTGTCTGTGGGAGAACACTGTTTAGGTAAAGTTTGCATAGGAATAGCCTCTGTCTCTGCAGGCGTGTGTGTGTGTGTGTGCATGTGCGTGTGCGTGCATAAAGGAACAAAAATGAAAGATAAAGACAATGGGAACACCACAAAAAGGTGCTTCTTTATACAAATGCTTGAAAACACAACACTGAAAAGCTGCAGATCATATAAATGAATTTGTGCCTAATTCAACACATCTTTATTTCTTTCTTCTTCAGAATTAGTGAGTCTGAATTATCATTGGCTTTATTATATGTAAACCTTCACAGAGAGAAAACACTCTTAGAAACAGGTGAGAGAAAGGAAGAAAAATGAAAAAAATAAACAGTGTTGAGAAGGATATGAGAAAAGAAACAAAGGGAATATATTTGTTTCAAGTTGAAAGTGTTGATGAGGACTTTTTACATTAGTGTAACTAGTTATAATTGCATATATATGTATGTTTTGCAACTAGCCAGACTATCTCAAAATGAACCTTCTGGTTATTTGGACTTATGTTCAAATTCAGAGAAGAAACAGTTTCCCTGAAGGATTTTGATCCTTAGTGATTTACTTCAGTATCAATACAGGCTGAATATGAAACCCACTGCTTTTAACTTCAGATGAATATAAGTTCATATTACCAATTATTCATTTATTTCCAAAATTTGCCATAATACATATTACTTAAACATAAGAGCCCAATTTTATAATTGAAGAAATTAATTTCTTTGGTCAATCAGAAGTTCCAACTCCTTAATTAAACATCATTCACATATCCAATGATCATATTTTGAGACTCCACAAACATTCCATAGTAGGTTGAGTTAATGGCACTTGTTTTCCTGAACACATCTAACCTATTTGCTCACAATCTGAAGTTCACCTATAATGGAATGGAAGGGTTTGATTAACTGGCAGCTAAGAGGCATGGGTCCCATCCTCAGTTGCATAACAATAGCTGTGTGGTCTTGGGCAAGTCACTTAACTTCTCTGGGCCCCTGCTTCCTCATCTGTACTGTAATGTAATCTTACAATGTCTTCCTCACCAACCTCATATTATTGCTATGCAGAAGAAATCAGGTTCTAGTTGCAGAAGTTCTTTGAAAAGTTAAGCCTCTGAACGAAATGCATGTTTTTATGGATACACACACACATACGCGCGCGCACACACACACACACATACTATTCATGATCATGAATACATAATGTAGGCCGTGTTGAATATGATGTGGGTGTTTTGTGCTTTGAATGCATGTGCTGGAGATCCCAGCCTGTAACAGCGCATAATAGGTGTCCTCTGTGAGATGTAACCTAGGTGACACTGTGCATTAAGCCGCACCTGTGCTCTGACAGAGCCCATGGTGTATAGAGGAGAATTCGGTAGATCAGCACAGGCCCCAGCAGAGAGAACGGAGCCATGCAGAAGTAGCATCAAGCTGTCTGTCCACCAAGGCCGAGCTGACCTACCACTTTATCTACATCATTTTCCAGGGCTCCTCTCTCCTCGGAAAAAAATTTCTCCCGAATCTGTGCACCTGTTTCACTTTATAGGTATAGCCCTGAACTTTAAGCACACATGCCAATCCCCACAGCATTCAGTGAACACCAAATAAATAGATTTACCACCCCCTCTGAGTTTGCAGCCTCAGTTCTAAAACTCTGATCCTGACCCTGACCCATTCCTCAGATTAGATTCCACCGTGTTTCTTTTCTTCTCGCTTCCCTTCAAGTCAAGCCAATAAATGGTTAGCAAGCAATTGCTGTTTTCTAGAATTGTGCTAAGTAATGAGAGGTACAGTAATGGACAGCAATTCATGCCCTCATGAAAGTTATCATCTAATTGGGCAATAGTCAATTAAATGGTTCCAGTCATCAGACTGAAGCAACCATGGAGAAATTTCCAGAAAAGGTGATGTTCAATCTGAGACCTGCAGTCTGGCAAGGTGTTCATCAGGTCAAAGTATGGTTGGGAAGGAAAAGAAGGCAGAATATTCCAAGTAGCACATTGGGAGGCAACAGAGAATGTGTTGCATTTAAGACCTTGAAAGGCATTCAGTGTGGACAAAGGTAAACAGCAAGCGAGAGCCAACTGCTCGGCTTCTCTCTCCATTCCCAGCTTCACCTTACATTGGGCACCTGCACATTCGATGCTAAGCTCTGCCACTCTCGCTGCAACTTCAGCTCCAACTCCTTCCCCATAGTCTGTTTAATAACCTCCCCAACTTGGTCCAACACTTGAATCCCTTCTTTATGTTGATCCCAAAGGGACTTGTTATGCAATGGATGTTTTGTGTCCTCAAAGTTCATATGGTGAAGCCCTAATTCCCAGTGTGATGATGTTTGGAGATGGGGCTTTGGGGCAGTACTTGGGCTTGGATGAGGTCATAGGTGTGGAGCCCCAGTGAGGAGTTTCATGTCCTGATAGGGGAATGAAGAGAGCAGAGTTCTGTCTATCTCCCCCTAACACATGAGGACAAGCAAGAAGGCAGCCATCTACAAACCAAGAAGAGGGACCTTCCCAGAAACTGAGTCTGCTGGCACCTCATTCTTGGACTTCCCAGCCTCCAGAGCTGCGAGTGATAAATCTTTGTTGTTTAAGCCCTCAAGTCTAAGGTGTTCTGTTACAGCGGCCCAGGCTGCCTCAGAGAGGACTGATGTCCCCTGACCTTGTCTGCAGTCTTCTCTGACACGTCATTTGTATCATAGCTTTCTGATCTCATTTAAGTTTATTTATTATCTCTCAGACTGTAAGGCGCATCTTTGTGTCTCTTTCCAAGTACCTGGGACAGGGTCTAGCTATGTATTTTTCTATAACAAATCTATATTAGGTCACTTTTTGGTTTACAGTCCTTCAGCGATTCTGCATTAATCTTCAGACAAAACCCTATTGTTAACACAGTTCACAAGTCCCAACCCCTGTTAGCCTGCCAGCCTCACCTCTGCCCCTGTCCCTTCTCACTGTTCCCTCCTGGCTCTCCTGCTTTTGAGCTGTCATTCCCTCTGCTTGCTCCTCCCAGCCCTGTGCACCTCCTCCACTCACACTCATCTATAAAGTCTCAGCTTATATACCACTTCTGCAGGGAGGCATTCCCTGGTGCTCGCTGCTTGCCCCTGCTAGAACATGACACTTACTGTGCTTTATTGAAAGGGCCTGTGGCAATGTTCATCTCTTCCTGTGTCTCAGCCCCAGCACTGATATTTTGGGCTGGATAACTCTGTTGTGGGGGCTGTCCTGTGCAAGGTATGATGTCTAGCAGCAGGCCTGACCTTCACCCACTAGGTACCAGTATTATTTCTCCCAGTTAGGACAACCAAGTATGCCTCCACATATTGCCACATGCACCCACCCCAGAAGACAAAAGCATCCCCCATTTGAGAACCATGTGCTACACTCTTCAGAAAATAGAGGGACTGTGTCTTATTCGCTGCTCCATCCTCAACCTGGCATGTGGTAAAAGGCCACTAATGAAATGTGTGAATGAATGGAAGTTCCTCCTATAAACTCCTATTGAAGGAAGGAACCTCAGGAAGACAGCTGTGTCAGCAGCCTTGGTAGCTTGGAGTGTGTTTCCTTTTAACGAATGGGTGCACCCTGCATGAACCTGGTGGTCTTCTCACCTTGGAACCTGTGCCCTCCATGCCTGTTAGGCAACAGACTGGTCATCTGCTTCCTTCCCCCACCCCCACACCCCTTTGGGCTGCCATGCCCACCTATCTCCCTCTCCAGAACAGAAAAAAAGGTTCCGGTTCCCTGAGCTTTCTGCATCAAAGACGTTTAAGCTTTTAAAGCAAATCGTGATTAATTAACAACGGTGTAGGACTTACATGCATTTCAAGTTGCTTTTATCTCTGAAAGAAAAGATGCCTTTTGGCAGATACTTTCTGTTCCCTGTCTAGTCCAGAATTCAAAGGGCATGCTTTGATGGGCTGAGCGGGTTACCGGTTTTTGGGTGTGAAGAGCAATGACTAGTAATTAAGGAACAGACTCCTTTATATCAACTCAAGGGGAAAAAAAAAAAATCAAATTCAATCTCAGCTTCATCCAGAACTGACTTGTGTCTAAGCTGAAGGGCTGTGCCTTGTGTTTAGAGGATAGAGGCAGGAGGGGAAGAGGGTGTGCCATGCGGTAATGGCTGCGTCCAAGGAAAGAGCCAGTATTTGTTCAGCACCTGCCCTGGGCCATGTTAGCTCTCCCACAAACTCTTGAAAGAATCAATATCGTTTCATTTTACAGACTGAACAGACTAAATTTTGGAGATGTTAAGTAATTTGTCCGAAATAACAAGTAGGCCAGGCCCATTCGGCATATGGAGGAAAGAACCTCCGAACCTGCGTGCCCTCAGGCCCCCTGTGTGCTCCCAGGCTCACCTATGCCTCCTAGCATAGAACAAAAAAGGCCTTGTTTTATCTTAAAGGCAAGTCATCCATTCAATCTACCATGGAGGGCTCCTGTAGCACTCTGTACCCACCCTACTGTAGCCCCCATCACAAAAATTCCTCTAAGTAATGTTTTATTCATCTTCCCACCTAAAGTATAAATTCAAAGCAAGCAGGCATCTTTACTTTCTTGTTGAATTCTGTATCCTTAGTGTTTCACACAGGGGTGGGCACAGAGTAGATTTCAAGAAATAGTCACCGAATTGAATATTTACTGAGGACCTACAATGACAAGATCACTGGTTGCTTCCAAAACGTAATTTATCCCTTCTTCCTTAATAGCATAATTCTCACTTTTACCTGAAAGGCCATACTTCCAAATGACTAAAAAAGACAACTTCAGCTGCTTTGCAGGTAGGCGTGGCTGTGCAACGAATTCTGGCCCCTGAGGTCTAAGCCGAGTGTTGTGTTGGCACTTCCACGAAGTCTTTTCTTACTCCGTCTTACTACTTAGATCATGCATATGATGGATGGAACTCAAGCAGCCATTCTGGACCATAATCAGAGCTATTTAGGGATTAAGAAGCAGAAAGGTGGAAGCAAACTGGGTCCCTGATAGCCATGGAACTACTAGAACAGTTCTTCACTGTCTATTTTCAGACTTGCTTTATGAGAGAGAAAAATAGATTTCTACCTATTCAATTCACTGTTTTTGTTTTTTTGTTACTTTCCTCTGGATCTCATCTCACCAGATACAACTAAGTGCCCTATTCTAGAGATTGTGAGGCATGCTGTCATATCTGTCCCATGCCTGTGTGGAGATCACAGCATCCCACAGAGCTTTGATGTATCCTATCTGAGTATTATTTGACATGCTACACTCCAGTCATATTAATTTTCTTTCAGTCCCCAAATGGTAATCACCACAAGAGAAGAAGAGAGAAAATGCTCAATGGGATATGAATTGGGAGATACCACCTACAGCATGGAGACCATGAACATTTTCACAGAGGAGGCGCCCCTTGAATTTGGTCCTAAATATTCACCAGAGTTGGAATCTGTAGAGAACAAGATGAGGTGGAACACCTCAGACACAGAAAATGCAGGACATGTTTGAGAGAAGGCCAGAGATTCTGCCATATAAAGTACAAGAAGAAAACATATCCTGTAAATGTAATTATGAGCATGGGCTCCGGAGTTAGATGTCCTGGGTTTGAATTCCAGCTTAACTGTTAACCAACTCTGTGACCTTGGCTGGGCCACTTAATTTCCATGAGTCCCATGTTTTTCATCTATCAAATGAGGAGAATAAACTCTGCTTTCTCAGTTTTTTTTGTTGGCCTTGAGTTTATATGCATAGAAGACTCAGAATAGTGGCTGTCTCAAAAAAGCACAGCCTAAATGTGTGCTATGACTATCCTCTCAAAAAACTGGGATATTTTGTTGAAACCACAGCAAGTAGAGTCATGAATGCCAAGTTAAGAACTTCAGGCCCATATTATAAAGGCACCAAAAAGCTGAAGGTGTGTAAGCAAAGTTGTGGGTGACATGGTGAGAGCAATTTTTTTGGGAAATCTTAATGTTGTCAGCATTCACCGTGTATTATGTGTCCTCTCCCATGCCCACCCCATTAGCCTGCTGGCTGTGGCGCCTCTCCCTAGGGCACACCAGCACTCAGCAATTCCCCAGGGTCCTTCCTCTGTCTCCGGGGCTCTCTGCCTGATTGCTGACTTAGGCAAATCTGGCTGCTTTTCAGAGACCTGGGGAAGGAAGCTCTCTGGCTCACAGCTCCTGGGCTAGTTGTCCCCATGGGATTTTGCTAAAGCATGTGATTCCTGCCTCACTCCTCCACTTCCTCCACCCCAAATTCCCCTGTCTCCACCCCTCAGGAGTGGTGTTATCAGTACTGACATTCTGACTCTCTTCCTTGAAATACAAGCCAGTGATTACAACATAACCGGGTAATATGAGTAATTTTTTTCCTTGTTGGTGACAGTGGGAACCAGCTACCTTTGTGAGTGCCTGCAGAGAAAGCTGGCCACAGTGTATGCTGTGGATTGAACTGTGACCTCCAAAATTTATATATTGAAGCTCTGAGCTCCCATGTGATGCTAGTTGGAGACAGAGGCTTTAGGAAGTAATTAAAGTTAAGTGAGGTCACAAGGGCATGGCCGTTACCCAATCCAATAGGATTGGTGGTTTATAAGAAGAAGAGATCTCTCTCTTGCTTCCCCTTTCTCTTCCCCTTCCCACATGAACACATCAAGGAAAGGCCATGTGAACATGCAGAGAGAAGGCAGCCATCTACACATAAGGACAGAGCTCTCACCAGACAACAATCTTTCTGGCACTTTGATCTTAGACTTCCAGTCTCTGGAACTGTGTGAGAAGATACATTTCTGTTGTTTAAGCCCCCCACCCTGTGGTGTTATGTGATGTCAGTCATACACTACTGACACAGTGTATATGCACTTACAGCACACTGTAATGACAGCTGCTGCACAGACTTTTGGACCTGGAAGCCAGCTGCAGACCACTTCAGACAGCAAGTTGCACCTCTCCATCGATAGCTCAGCATACCCTCCAAATCTTCTATGCCAGGTAACAAAAGATGCTCTGGATCCCCTCATCCAGATTCCTGGTTACCAAGTGCCAAGTCAAAGTGGTTTTCCACCTGTGACCATTCAGCTGCCACAAAGAGAGTAGGTAGCTTCAGCTTTTTTGCCCCCATCTCTTTTTAACTTACACTTTATTGATGGTTTAAGCATCTGCTTAAGATGTCTGTGTGTGGCCACCCAGCGAAGCAGGAATCACAGCTGTGAGACAGAAATCACAGCTACAAAGAATATTAGAATACAGACAATATCAAGCCAAGGGCCTACTTTGGTCCAGGTAAAAATAGAATAGAAGAAGATTTAAAAAAAAAGAAACCCTACACACATTGCTGTTTCACCCAATTTTTATTCCTTCAAAAGATAACATGGAGATGAATATTCATGGTGAGAAATGTGAGCCTTTGGCCTTGGAAGCTCAATTATTGTTATTTTGAATTTCATTAGCACTTTATATTTGTAAAGCCCGTTTTGGTGAGGCATTTTGTTCCTTTCCTCCCTTGCCTTTCTACCCCATGCCTCCTTTCTTCCTAAAATCCCTGCGCTCTTCCAAGAGCTAAATCAGATACTGTCATTTCTACAGAAATGGAAAATCAGAAGTGAAGAGGGGAACTGCCTTTGACATAGAAATAACCGACTGTGGCAACAGAAATAATTATTCTAGGAAAACTTGCTCTGAGGCTGTCAGGCCATCTGGCTGTTGATGGTGGAGCTGATTGCTTCTGCTGTGGGACGTTCCTGGGGTTTCTGTCACTTGACTTCCCCTCCTCAGGAGCCAAAGTACAAGCATTGATACATGGTATCCCTGAGCTGGCTCCCTCCACCTGCAATCTTAACATGATTTGGGGACTTTCATTGGCAAGAACTGAGACTTTTCTGATTAGTTAAAGAGGTTTGAAAGGGAACAACCACTCTTTATTCAACAGCTGTTAGGTGCAGATATTGAGTATATTACATACATCATCATTCTCTGTACCAGTTACCTGTTATTGCTCAACAAACTACCCCCAAACTTAGTGACATGAGACAACAGTTCTGTGTTGTTAGAGCTTACAGGTCAGTGGGTTGGTTGGTCTGCTCTCTGGGTGAGGCCCATGGATGGGTCTGTGAGTCAGTTGGGATTTAGCTCTAAGCTGAGCTTGCTTGCTGTACCTTAGCAGGGAAGTCTCTGCTCCACATGTCTGTCATCCTTCTGAGACCAACTGGCTAGCCCAGGCATGTGCTTCTCCTAGTGACTGGATAAGACAGAAGGTAGAAATACCCAAGGCTCACAACTGGCACACCATCACCGCAGCCTCGTTCTATTGGTAAAAACAAGTCATACAGCCAAGCCCTGATTTAAGGGGTGGGGAAATAGGCTCTGTCTCTTTGGTAAGAGGAACTGCAAAGACAGTTTGGCAAAGGTTACAGACACTGGAGAGGTGAAGGATCAGGCCATATTATAATCAATTTTGCAAATGACTCAGGGGGGACATTGCCTAGGTTACTCTATGGTGAATTTGGAACCAAATATTTTGGATGTAAAAGACCTTTCTCTTCTTTACCTGTCTATAATGGTTTGGCCTCAAAGGCCACATTTAAGCTTGCATCCTTACTTTTCAATTAACAGTTTCTTTCGGTAGCAACATTCCAGAAAACTACCCTTGTGCAGTGACTTTTCTTTTTATGCCACCTCATAATTTTGATTATGATAAAGAATATAATGATGATGGTGATGATGTTAACTTTCACTTACTCTATGTCATAATCTTGATCATGAAGGGGATTTGGAGTAATGGTTATAACCAGAAACTCCAGAGCAAGACTGTGTGGGTTCAAATCTTGGCACTACCACTTCCTGGCTGTGTGACTCTGGACAAGGGACTTTGCTTTTCTGAGCTTTAGTTTCCTCATATGTCAAATGGCACTACCTAGAGTTCCTGTCTCTTTGATTTATTAGAAGGGCTGATTGAGATGAGACCTTCACAGGATTTAGCATACTGCCTGTCTTATTGTAGGTACTCAATAAATGTTGCTATTATTATTTTGTCACTGTTGACATATGCAAAGTAGAGAACCAAATGCTGCACATGCATTATCACATTTAAACTGCACAGCGATTAGAAAATAGATCTCTGTTGATAGTTGTCTACTTGACCTAAAAGTTTATTTTCTTGTGGCTGCTGTCCCCATTGGAGTCTGCTAGCACATCAATGTGTCACTCATTTAAGGGAGTAAAAAGTTCCTTATTCTTTCTAGCTGAAAGGTGTTAGTTTTGGAAAGAGCCATCTATTTCCCTTTGCAGTACCATCCCTCAATCCGTGCAAAAGTTTCTGTTTCTCTCTAACAGTCCATTCATCCTTGCCACCTGCTCTTTCAAAACATAGACACAAACACAGAACCTCGGGGGATACTGAAGCACATGCTGGATGACTTTTCTCCCCAGTGGCTGGCATCCAAGACAAGGGAAGCTGGACTTCAGGCTTGGTTCTGTTGATGGCATCTGAGATTTAGGAATTCAGCTCTGCTCCTCATTCCTGGAGCTCCTTCTGTTGTGAAATGGAAGTGATGAGCCACAAGCTACCTTAGCCAAAGCTTTGGAGTTGAGTAGGTGCGGTAGGCAGGAGTGTGTGACAGAAATGCTTAATAATCAGGAAAAGCTCTCAGCAGAGGGCACTGAGGTCAGACTGTCATGGATCCAGGTTTTTGATTTACAGATAATAACGGCATTTAGGCTCAGCATGCTGACAGCCTCTCCACAATAGCGGAAAGAGACAGAGGTGTCATTCAGCAATCTGAAAATGACCCACCAGTACCTCTACCTTTAGATTTCAATTTTACCCCTCAGGTCAGCCTCTACTACTCATTTTCTTCAAATGGATGCAAATTCCTCCCATCTCTCTGGGGATTTGCTCTTAACTTGAGATAATGGGAATCAGCAGTAAGAGAGGGATCTTCTGCTCTTTTCTATCCATTATCACTTCTCTGATTATTTTGGTGCCCTTGCATGTGATTCAAGGATAATCAGAGTTTGCACGTTGACTGCACCATGAATCCCCAATGCTCAAGCTTTCCCAAGCCACTGAGCAGCATCCAGAAGCCAAGTCTGGTTTGTTTAGCACTAAATATTGTTTCTCTAACAGTAACAATGCCTGACACAAAATAAGGATTCAGTAAATTCTTGTTGAACTAATGAGTACTTTAGCTCCCTTGATTTTGAATCTCTCTCTAGAGGTCTTCAATTATTCATTTATTCATCCATTCATTTGCTCAAAAATACATATTAGGATTGTGCCTTGGAAGTTTGCATGAGTAAAAAAAAGGTGAATCAGACTGTTCCTAACTTCAAAAAACTCAGAGTATAGGAAAGGAGTTGAGATTTAGCATCAGTCAGTTATTACCACAATAATGCTGCATAATAAAACCACTCTAAAACTCAATGGCTTCAAATAGCCATCATTTCTTCTCAGTCAGACATCTGAATGTTGTCTGGGGGAGTCTGCTGATTTAGGCTAGCTTGGCTAAGCTTGTCTCTAAACTGTGGGTAGGTTTAGGTTTGTTCTCATATCTGTCACCCTCCTTGGACCAGTGGGCTGAACCAGGCATACCCTCTCATGGCAATGCCAGAAGTACACAGAGGCAGCCCCACTACCACAGCATCAGCTCACAGCATGACCACCAGTATCTAATTAGCCAATGCAAATCACATGGCAAGTTCAACATCAGTGGGTTCTGGGCAAATCTCTCTACTCCGAGTGAGAGGAGGAAGGGAATGAATATTTGCTGGACCAAAATCTATAGCATCAAAGCCTTAAATACACATAGCATATGGTAAGTAGATAAAAATATTACATGTTACAGATGTTACACAAGGAATAGGGACATATAAAGGGAAAAATTACTACATGTAAAGGATATGAATAGAATCAGAAATGGCCTTGAATGATGGCAGCTGTATGTGCATATAGAGCACTATTTAGGGAAAAAGTAATCTGGACGGGCTAACGGAGTTTGGAGTGTGTTCAGGGAATAGCAAAGACATTTATTTTGATGAAAAAATAAGTTATAGGAAGAAAAAATAGTGAAAGAGTGGATCAGAAAGATTGGGAACTAAAATACTCTGCTAATGGGTTACAGAAGACCCAGGGCAACAAAATTGGAGAATAACAGGTGAGAATTAAAGTTAATAACAGCAACAAAGTGCACAGTGCATTGGCAAGGTACAAGTTAGTATATTAGCTCCTAGGAATTTCCATTGATGTCAGAGAGAATGAACTGCCAGTAGACCAAGGTGATAAATACTAGACATTACACTTTTTCCAAGTATTATTTTTTCCCAGTGAATCTTCGTGGGTATCTCAAACCTCAGGCTTAACGCCATGACTGCAGTATATCTCTCCTCTGTGCAGTTTCTTCCTGCTTTCCCATCCCGTCACCTTGGAAATAATGTCACCATGAAAATTACAGTGAATGGGTGAGCCCTTTCGAGGAGGGAGTCATGGAAGTCCTGTTTCCAGGGAGGACATCAGCCCTGAGCCCCAAACGAAAAGAAGGGACAGGTGAGAGCCCCTTCTTTGTCAGCAGTGCCACCTGGACCATGTGATTTGACCTCCCTGGCCTCAGTTTCTTAATTGGCACAAAGAGAATGGTAATACATCTCCTTCTTAGAGTTCGTGTGAAGATTAAATGCATTACCATTTGCAAAGTGCTTAGAACAGTACCTGGAACGTCAAGCAACTCCATTCTAAAGGTAAAGACAGAGGAGCAGATGCTTTTAATGCAGTGTCATCAGTGTTCCAAGCAGGTGCAAGGTGCCAAGGACAAAAAAAGGATGGTGCCTAACCCAGCCTGGGGCATCAGAGAAGTCTTCCTGGAGGGAATGATATTATATCAAAGAGATGAGAGAGATTAACATTTCATGAGTACATAGTTCTTGGTGCTGGGTGATTTCTCTTACTATTTGTAAAATTGACTCTCACAACAACCTTGTGAGATAGGTAAAATTGTGCCCATTTTAGAGATGAAGAATCAAGTCACTCATTAAATATTTTATCCATGACATGATGGTAGTGTTAATACTCTAAACCAATATACCTTATACTAAACACACAGCAACTTTTATTTCACCATTGTTGTTTTTGACCAAGAAGGTCTAGGATGCTGTAATTGCTAACATTTATTGATTGTATAATTATTGATTATAAACACAGGATTGATACCATGCTTCACGGTTTTAATCTTTTTGCCTATTTAATCCACATCTAACTCCATGAGGTAGGTATTTTTTGTTTGTAGATGAAGAAACCGAAGTTCAGAGAGTTTAAGTAACTTTCCCAAGGTCACATAGCAAGTATCAGAGTCAGGATTTGAAAGTAGACAATCAGGGATCAGAACCCATCAGTTTATCCTCCATCTATGCTTCTCACTCTAACAGGAACAGAATGCTGGATAAGGAGTTGTAGGACTTGATTCAGCACCCAATTCTAACAACTTGTTATCTTACCAGTTTTGGGTAAATCACAACATTGAGTTTTATTCTTGTCACTCACAAATAAAGCTAAAAATTCCGGTCCTACTGGCTCCCAAGGTGGTAGAAGTCCAATGTTCTGTTGACGAATGTAGAAACATTCAGTGTAGGTGGAAGTTGTTAGTCATTGTTGTTAGTTTGATGTGCAGGCAGAAACTAGAGGAGGCAGCCAGAAGAGCCAGTGAGTCCTGTGAAGGGAGGAAAACAGATGCCTTCAGATGCTTGGAGAATTTTCATGAAACTTCTCCCGCATAGCTTCCCCAAAATGATAGAGTTGGAATCAATAAGTGGTAGATTCAGCAGGGGAAAATGAAATCAGTACATTCTATTGGTCTGAGCCAACCAAAGATAGAACCAGTTTTCAATATCAATGATGAATTCTCCACTTTCCATGTGTGCAAACAATAGGACCTCATGTTGTGGAGAGATTGTAATGGGGAAGTCTGCATTCTGCAGAGGTTTACACCTCTGCTGTGATAGGCTCCATGCTGGTCTCCTGTCATTCGCTCTTGCACTACTTAAATCCATTCTCTACCTAAAGCCAAAGTAGCATTTTAAAAATGTGTATCTGACTATGCCATCCTCTTACATAAAATTGCCCATGGCTTTCCATTTAAATTAGAATTAAATCCACACTCCTTACCATGACCTACGCAGACCTGAATGATTTAGGCCGTGCTAACTTTCCAAGACTCATTTCATCCCTTTCTAGTCTTCCGTGACCCCTCTCCAGCCATAGGACTTCAGATGTTTGGCTCCTAGAATTTGCCAAGTTCTCTCAGGGTTTTTGTATTTGCTGCCCCCTCTGCCTGGAATTCCCCAGGATCCCCCTCGCCATACCAACTCCTACTCATCCCTCCTTGTTTCCAATTAATTGTCCTCAAATATCAATCACTCTCTCTCTAGTTATTCTACTTCGTAGACTCATGTTCTTTTCCATCACAGAACATTTAAAAACTTTCAATCATATATTCTATCTTTTTATCGTGGTAAGATTTGTTAACGTGAGATCTACCGTGCTAACAAATTTTTATGAATATAATTCAGTATTAATAACTGTAGACACAGTGTTGTGCAGCAGATCTCTAGAACTTAACCATCTTGCATAACTGAAACTGTATACCAGCTGAATAGCAACTCCCCTTCCCTCCTCCCATCAAGTCATCTTTGATTGTTTGTTGTGATCTCTTGACTTGACTGTGGGCTCCATGAGTACAGGGGCCATTTCCATCTTGTTCGTCTCTGTATCCCCATTCCTGGAGCATAGTATTCCAAGAAGGAGAAATGATAAGGAGAAAAGGAGGGAGGGAGGAAGGGAGGGAGGAAGGTAGGAAGGAAAAGCTCTTTGAGGTTAATTTGTTTTCCTTTCTTTCTTCTGTAGATGAGCCTCAGTTAAAAACAAATAAACCCAAATTACATATATATTATATTTTGTGCCCAGAGCTGGGGAGAGGGGCTTCCAGTGGATTGCCCTGGAACCCTCTCTAGAATGAGATGGAGAGCAGCTGGACCTCCAGGAGACAGGGAGCCTGCAGCCTCCCAGCCTTGCTGAGTCTGCAGCTTATCATACAATAGTCATCAAATATAGGTTGATAAGTAGGTCAGGAGTGGGGGATGTCCTCTGCCTCCCTGAGATACCTCTGAGCAAGGCCCTGAGAGTTACATCTACATAAAGCTCCTTAGGATAGTGGTAGAAACAGTGAAAGGAGGCCATGAGGTTGGGAGTCAGGGCAGTGCACTGCTTGGTGTGGTAACATGAGCAGGGACTTGAAAGCAGGTAGTCTTGGGGTTTGCTCCAGGTTACAAACCAAACAAGCACTTGCCCTTGAGTACAGTAGAGAGATTGTACCATTCTCATCTTATAGATGAAGTGATGCTTGAAGAGATAAATAATTTGCCCAAGGCACCAAAGCTAACAATTGGAAGAGCTGGGATTTGAACTCTGGTTTGCCTGGCTCTGAAGGTTGCCAAATAATGTTCCTTAAAAATTAAAAACAACATGTATTCAGCAACATGCATCAACAAATATAAATATTTGTGAGAAAGCATCTGTTCTTTCCCTCCCAAGTTCAAGGTCACACAGGTATTAAATGGCAGAGCTGAAATTCAAAACCAGTGTTGTCTTATGCAAGAGACTGTGCTTTTAAACATTCATTCATTCATTCATTCATTCATTCATTCAACATAATCAATGATGCCCTAACATATCAAGGAACAACACTGACAGGATTTCTGCACTCATCATAACTGTAAACTTAGCCGGGAAGACACTCTGCCAAGTGTTTGTCGTCATCCCTGTTGCAGCAGTTTGGAAACTCAACCCTTACACTATACCGACTTGTTGGAGGAGATCACCCAGATCATGTCACTGCTTGTTGACCTGTGTGCTGGACTACAGCAATCAGAGGCTCCTCACGCTGTCCCCTGTCCTTGAAATATACATTTCACCCACTGTTCCCATAGCTGAAACAATTTCAAGGACACAACCTTAGAGAGTAATGTGTTGTTGAGACCATCTGGACTGTATACGTGACTGAAGCCCATTAAGGCATCTATATATATACATTTTAAGATTCTGGTGGACAGCGTGGAGACCTACTCATTTTGTGGCTGCTGAAGACAAGCCTTGAATGTAAGCTCGCTTCCTTATGAAACCTGCCACCCACCAAGCTGCGGCCGCTGCCTCTTCCCTCCGTCTCTGCTTGCCCTCCACGTGCAGGAGCCAGTTTTGAATTTCTGAATTTCTATCTAGAGAAGTTGGCAGGACTTTATTAGATACACATTGCCCAGCTTCAGGCTGTGCATTTTCTGTATGTTCCCAATTCTTCCCATGTAGAGCAGGGATTAAATATTCCAACTTCACAGGTGTTTGTAAGAATTATCTAAGAGAAAAATGTGTTTCATGCCTAACTCATAGTAGGCATCCAGAAAATGTTGTAGAAATATTCACTCATGCTGTCATCACCTTCACCACTTCAAAATATAATAGTAAAAATAATGTGCTGCAGAAAGGAAAATGACCTAGTGTTCTATAGCAGAGAATAAAGCTTGTACTTTTCATTAGTAATACACATTCTAATGCACCAGGTTAGCAGTCCAGCTTGAATAAATATAGAGCAGATACTGCAAGGATTCTTTTTTTTTTAGAGCAGGATCCCAGAGAGAAAAGATTGCAAACCAGAAGAGCCAATGAGCCCCAAAAAGACGATCCCGAAAATACACAAGTAGTAAGATTTGTTAAGAAAAAAGGTCCAAAGGACCATCACCCATTAATATTGTTAATGATGGAAAATGACAAGAGTTAATGAGGAGGAAGGAAGCACGGATAGGTTAAATGATTAAGTAGGCAAAGAGGCACAGAGATTTGGGTACAAGCAAATGGATGATGGGGATGAATTAAAGATGAGTGGACTTGAGAAAGAAAATGCGAAAGGATGAATGAGGAAAGAAAGACTTTCAAGGAGTATTGTGAGAATTTTGACTAGATGGTGTAAGGAGGGTATGAAATCACTGCAGTAAATCATTGAACAAGAAGAGATTGATTTAGAGGACCAGAGCAGGAGAAGTGGGAGGTAGTGAGAGGTATGAGCTGGCGAAAAAAGATAATAAATTTGAGAATTGTTAAGGGAAAGAGTCAGAGAAGTACTGGGTCGAAGCAGAAATCAGTCAAACAGATGCAAGTGGAAATGAAGAAAGACAACGGTGATTAAAATATTCTTTCATTTTTCACGAAAGAGAAGTTAGAGACAATGATAAAAGTTTGCTCTAAATGAGATATAGTGGAAATGTTCTGAAAGGGAAATGAGAAATGGGGGATGAAAGCAAAGAGACAGAGAGGTAACGGAAGGATGAATAAATAAATAAGTATTTGGAAATAGAAGCAAGCTACTATTAATGAGGACCTACTGTGTGCCAGAGAGCATGGGTTGCTTCCATGTATACCTACTGGCTCCTTCAACCTTCCCATTACCCCACTTAAAGGAAAGGAAATTAAGGGTCAGAGAGGTTGTAAATTTCTAAAAATTAGTTGAGTAGTAAGTGGTGGCATGAAGAATTTGAGTTTACATTAAAGAGTGGTTTCTGATTCAAACAGATAGCAGTAATAAACATATTTACAGTGATTTATTTTTGGCACATGAACCATAAAAGGAAATGCTACAAGATTAGCCTTAATCTTGTTATTGATCCTATACTGACTGATGGAGCTGGACTCTGAATGCTTCGAGAGGCTGAGGGGTTTGCTGAGCTGAGACAAGGGACCATCTGCGGGAAGGTAGCTGAAGGCAAGGAAAGGTAACAATATACTGAACGATGAATGGAGGCAACATGCCGCAGGGAGTGAGGCAGGATTCAAAGCACAACGTGATTTACAGAGAGGGCTATGATTGGAGCAAGAGAAAGCAAATGGTGGAGATTTGTGGGTCCCTAGAGGATTGATGGAAGACTGAGCTTAGATAAGAGTGGAGATGGAGCAGGAGATAGCAAGCTCTTCCCCTAAACTGGAGCTTGTGTTGTAGAGATCATCTTGAGGCTTAAAGAAAGACCGTTCTTTCTTTTTTTAAGTAAAAAAAAAAAAGACTTGAATCACAGAAATCTGGGGAGGGAGAATAGGGGGCCAAAAAGGAAGAAAGAAGGAAAGGGCAAAGGGAGGGACAGATGGACAGAGGAAGAATTATGCCTGCAGTTTAGAAAACCAAAAAGGTGATCTTTTTTCTTTATTGTAGGATTATCCTAGTGCCTGCTTTGATACCTGCCTTAGAGTTACGAGCCAATGAATATGCTGGCATTCACTGACAAAATACTTAATTTGTATCTGTAGCCCATGCTAATCTGAGCACTAGCTCACATTAACACTGTAGTATCCCAGACACATGTGGTCTTTGATCTCTTGGGGCTCCCAGTCTACTGCGGAAGACATATCAAGAAAATACACTAGTAGGTGGACAGTTATTAAAGTATGTAATGAATGCAATTAAAAATATATGTGGAGATTTGAAAGGATATTACAGGGAAGATAGAGAGGGGCTAGCTTAGACTGGGTGGTTAGTTACCTTAGGAAAAGTACTTTATTAGCTAAGACTTGTAAGTTAGTGGAAGACAGCAAGGTGAAGGCTGGAGGGAAACCTAGCCAGGTAGAAGGAAGAGCTGCTGGGAAAATACTGGGGCAGCAAGAGCTTGAAACATTCTAGGACTAGAAAGGAGATACACATGGCTGCAGCCGAATGGCGGTGGCGGGGATCTGGTTACATGAGATGAGAGGAAAGCAGTGAGTTGGGTATCAGGAGACCTATGGATTTACTTATAACATTAATGAGAACCTAACATGGGCTAGACATTTTCACATGTATTATCCCATTTAGTCCCCATCATGACCCTGAGAAGTGAGTACTACTTTCCCCATTTCACAATTGAAAAATGAAGGGTCTAATAGGGGCATTATTAAGTGACTTGACCAGTAGGTAAATTGCAAAGAGGAGACCTAAATCAAAGTTGGTCAGCCTCTCCAAGCTTTGCTTTTCCAACTCTCCTAGGCTGCTTTCAGTTACATGGTATAAATGGAAAGAATTTGTAAAAAAAAATCATAATAGAACATGGAGGAAGGGGTGGGCGAAGAAAGAGGGAAAATATGTTACAAAACTACTTATAAAGGCAAATATGAAATATGAACAGTGAAGCAAGAGGAAGCACTGGCTGGAAGGATTGAGGAGTTAGAATGAAAAAGAATTCCGGATCAGTGGAGTCAGAGAGAGAGGGAGAAGGGACCCTAGAGGAGAATAATTTACATCAATAATGAAATAGAACTAACTAAGTCAATAATGAAATAGAACTGAGTGAAGAAGAAAGTAGAAAGGAAGAGAGAAGCTGAGGGGACAGGAGTGGTGCCACTGGCCACAAACTAAGATACTGGTGTATAAGCAGGGAAGTCAGCATACTGGGAATTGGTGGGGAAGGCTTGGGGCAGGCCGTGCTGGGGCAGAGAGAGCAATGATTTAGGACTCAGGCAGGCGTGTGTTCTACCGACTGCATGGACAAGGTCGAATTTCTTTGCCTCCCTGAGCCTCACATTCCACATCTGTCACCTGGGTATGACAAGCCTTGCTGCAGATTTTACTGGGATCACACATTAAAGCAGCAGTTATAATTTGTTGAGCACATACTATGTTAAGTACTTTGCATAATTATTTCTGAAGCCCCAGTCCCACCAGAATGCAGGAATTGTTATTGTCATTCATTGATATACTACACAAAGTTTTTAAGTCCTAGAGTTGGCATTCAGAAATATGAGTTCTTTTCTTGTGGTCATCCCAGATTGGACAGTGCCTACTACATGAAGCTGGTCCTCCTCAAAATGACCAGCTAATTCCTTGCTTGCCTTTTCTTTTTTGACTTCAAACCCTCCCTCCCTTCCTCACTGAACGCCCCCCGTTTCCAGTCATCAGCTTTGCCTCCCCTGCCCTCCATTTGTTTCTACCTTTTGTATCCTCAGTCAGGTATCTTAGTTGCAGGCAACAGATACCAATTCTGGTTTATTTAAGCAGAAAGAGAATTCAGTAAAGTAATGTTAGATTACGTAGCATCTCCAAGAGGGTATGGGATCTAGGCTCAGAGTCCATGAAGTCTAGAGCACTACTCCAAATCCCAGCACAGAAAGGGCGGATTGGGACATTATTGTTGCAGCTGCAGTCGGACATAAATAGGGCCATTTATATGCTTGACGCCAGTGACACCAGGCTCTGAGCACTGTGGTTAGAGCCATTTCCACTAGCAGTAAAACCTGAATGTAACTGCCCCAATTGTTGCCACTTTGGTCCCTAAGTGGGTTCTTCCTGATTGCAGCTTCCTTACCAGCAGCTGGGGAGAGCAAATCTCATTGGTGAATTATGAGCCATGTGCCCAAGTCTGAGCTGCCCGGGAAACTGAGAAAGAATCTGGAAATTTTAGCATATTCATGAGAGGTGGGCTATGCCACAGAGAGTGAAACACCTTCTGGTGTAGGAAAGGGATTCATTTAGACACCGAGCGAGTTGCAAAGAATACCAAAAGCCAGCTTTAACTTGGTATGCCCACCTCCATGCTACATCCTTTATGGCTCAACTCCAGTGCCACCTCCTCTGGGAAGTTTTCTTTGATTTCTCCAAGCATAAGTTTCAAAGCCTCTCATGAAAGAAGCACATGCCTGTCTGCCTGCATCATATCTGAGGTATTTCTGTCCTCACCACTTTCCCCCACCCCCATCATTATAAGCCCTGTGTTTATCCATCTTTGCATCCCTGTATAATACCTGCTAGGAGCCATGGATATTTGGGGGTGAATGAATGAGTGAAAGTTTTGGTCACATTTGACAGGCCTTTGTACCAGAGGTTCATGAAGGACTTTCACAGACTCTGCCTTACATAAGGGAGTCCTTCTTTCCTGGTGTGCACTTCTATAAATGGACTATGTCAGCATATTTGAAGAAAGGGGCATAGAGAATCAGAAAGCCCCATTGCAGAGGATAGTGGCAGATTGTAAGGGTACAAAGGAGAGACTGAGGGAGGCAGAACGACATATTTTGGAGGAGTAAATGAACTGGAGCAGGCACCAGTTAGAGAGGCAGGAGACGATTGAGAATCAGAGGACTTGAAAGGCCAGATTCCACCCTCCTCCCCCTTGTGTTCACAGATTAGTACACTGAGACAGGAGGAGCATACCTCACACACCTCAGAGCTGACACAGACCCAGATGCACTCCTTCAGATGCACCTTTCCTGACATCTTTGACAGCTGGTCTTTCCAAGGTCATTGAGGACAGTGTGATTTAATGGAAACAGCCAAGGCTTTGGAGCCTGGGGTTCAGGTCTCAGCTCTTCTGCTCATTAGCTTTGTGACTTTGGGAAGTCCCTTCACTTCCCTGACCTCTTGATCTCAGTTTTTTCATCTGGAAAATGGGAACCATAATACCCATCTCATTGGATTATGGTTGTATATAAGAGCTAACATAGGTATATGTCTAGCACTTGGAGAATGCTTCATGCTGATTAAGCATGTTTAGGGTAGAGACCTTGCATTGTATGGTAGTGTGTATGTGTAAGGTAGAGACCTTAAACTGTATGATTAAGCCCAAGGTCACAAAGCAGAGTTTGATTGTTCCTTCTTTTCAGTCCTCTGCCTTTATCTTAAGTCATAAAAAAGTAAATAAAATGTGATGGGAAAGGGGGAAAAAGGCAGGTCATGTGAAAGGTTAAAGATAGAAAGGGGGAAAAAAAGAGGCAGAAGAGGGAAGAGCTAAGAAGAGAAGTTAATGCACAGAGATGACCCAAAAGGTGCAGAGTAGACAAGCAATACAGAGAGAGATGGGAAATGGCTCACAAATTATAGGAAGGAAGCATTTGGGAGATTAAAGTCAAGATGAGGAAGAATGAAATGAGTGGAGAGATGAAAGAGAGAGAGAAGAAGAAAAGGATGGGTGTGGAGAACAGGGGTCATCGAGCACTGGATCCTTGCAGAAGTGATGGCTCCCCAGAGGATCCGAGGTATGTCGGTCAGACAGTCAGCCCAAGGCCAAAGGCGGCTGCGTGTCCGAGCCCCTAGGTCGACGGCTCAGTTTGAAACCAGGGCAAGAAGGAGTGGGGGTGAAGAATTGGTGAACAGACCCCTCCTGTGGGAATGGGGAGAGGATGTAGGAGCCCGCGGGAGCCAGAAACAGACAGAATAGTAGGTCCCTACCTTGCACCCTTTTCAGGAATTTCACACAAAGAGCAGGAGCAGCCAAGCAGATCTGCTCCAAGCAAGGAGTTGGGATCCAAAGGGGAAAAAAAATGCGTGAGTGGGCTGGCATGCAGACGGCAGCTAGGGGACCGGAGCATCCTGGCCTGAGTCAGTTTTTTGGGGGGAGGGTGGCTAGAAAGTGAGGCTCAGAACCCTTCTTCCATTAGCATTAAGTGCAATCGCAGAGGCCTGGGTGCAGGATGGGGTCTTGGAGGTGAGAGAATAAATGAGTGAGTTGTGGGCAAGTGAGTGGGCAGGGGGCTGTGAGGCCACAAGGAATTATTTCAGGGACTAGAAAAGGGTACCGCACTTGTCATGGGGCTTCTGAGCTGATAAAGTTAAGTCTTGACCATCCAGAGACGTCCCCTACCCCCGAGAAGGCGGAGCCTGGAGTAAGGCTGGGCTAAGGCGCGCCCCCAGGTGCAGCCAGTGGGTTGAGCCAGGGGTGGGGTGAAGCTGGGCGAGCCGGGTTGAACCTGGGGGGCTGGGTCGTCGCGAGGGGTCCCTAAGTGTTAGGAATTTGGGGAGGGGTAGTGTGGCTAAAGAACATTGGGAGGGCGGCATTGCGGGATCCTGGGAAAGGAAAGGGGGCGACGGGGATTTGCACGAGGCCGGGCGGAGCCTCCGAGACGCTCGGGGTCTGCGGGGGGAGCCAGAGAAGGGAGCGGGCGGCCGGGCCCCGGGAGGCGGCGCGGGGGGGCGGTCCAGGCCGATCAGGAGGCGGAGCCCGGAGCCGGTGGCTGCCGGAGAGCGGCTCCCGCGGCTCTTCGCTCGGGCGCCCCGGTTCGCCTCGGCGTCCGCCGCCGCCGCCGCCTGCTCTTCCTCCTCCGTCGCCGCCGCCGCCGCCGCTCGCAGCCCCACAGCCCCTTCTGCCATGGCCGCCGCGGGCGCCCGGCGAGGCCCCGGCCCCGGCCCCAGCTCGAGGCTCCGGGAGCGGCTGAGGCGCGGCTTCCACCCGGCGCCGCCGCCGCTGCTGCTGTTCCTGTGCCTGCTGTCGCCGCGGCCGCTGCTGGCCGGCGCCACCGCCGCCGCCTCGCAGGAGCCCGACAGCCCGTGCCGGCTCAAGACCGTCACGGTGTCCACGCTGCCCGCGCTGCGGGAGAGCGACATCGGCTGGAGCGGCGCCCGCGCCGGGGCCGGGACTGGGACCGGGGCGGGAGCCGCCGCCGCCGCCGCCGCGTCCCCGGGCTCCGCGGGCTCCGCGGGCACCGCCGCCGAGACGCGCCTCCTGCTCTTTGTGCGTAACGAGCTGCCGGGGCGCATCGCGGTGCAGGACGACCTGGACAACACCGAGCTGCCCTTCTTCACCCTGGGTAAGGCTGGGCGCAGGCACCCGCGGATCCCGGGGCACCGGCGCCGCTGAGTGAAGCCAGACGGGCGGGGGCGCCCTGGGGATCCCTGCCCCGGGCAGCCTCGAGCGGGGTTGGGAGAGGGCACCCGCGAGGCCCGGAGGGTGTACAGGTGGTCGGAAGGGAGAAGGGGCGGAGGTCCCGGAGAGCGCGCGGCGGGAGCCCGGGGGCGTGCCGGCACTCCCGCGGCGGGGGCCCGTCCCTCCGTCTCTCAGGGCAGCCGGTCCGTCCCCGGCGCCGCGGAACCCAGAGGGCCGGGTGTGCTCGAGCTGGGGGCCCAGGCAGCGCCCCGCTCCGAGGCCGGGTCCTGTCCCGCCGCCCTCCGCTCCCGTCTGGGCAGGGCCGCTGGCCGCCCGCGGTTACCGCCCCCTCGCTCTCGCCGCCGAGTTGGGGGCTTTGCTCTTGCAGGTAGATTTTCAGCGCGGAGACGCTCCGTGTAGAATCGCCCGGCGCGCGTAAATTCGGTTTCCCCATAGATTGCGTGACCTTGGCCAAGTCCCTTCCCGTCTCTGGCCCTCAGTTTCTGCCGTCTGCGAAGCGAGGCTGGGGAGGATGAGTGATTATCCGAGTCTCCCTCCACTTCCGTTGTCGCATTCGCTTTCCACCCCTCCTCCCAGCCGAGAGCATTTTGTCGTCGTAGTTCCCTCGCTGGTCTAATAATATTAACTTAACGACGTGAGAAAAAGGGTGGGGGGTGGGGGCTCAAGACGGAAAAGTTAATCAGAAGTTGGCCCGTAGCTTGCTGCCCAGCGCCAGTCCCGGAGGAGCCGGCCCTTCGGGGGAGCTGTGGGAGGCGCGGCTGATTTCCCACCCGGGTAATTGATAGTTTAATTATCTCGGAGAGCGTTTACAAAAATGTTGTTTCCCCCTTAGCTCTCCCGCGCTCGCCGATCGCCCGCTCTCCCCTCCTCTTCTGGGGGCGCGGGGCGCGATTGGTTGTCGGAGTCTGGCCAACGACAGCGGCTGGGAGGCGCGGGGGGTTTGCCGGAGTCCCCCGCGCTCGTCTTTCGCGGATCGTGCCTTCCCCGGTTGCTGCTCGGCTCGGGCACCGCGAGGGTGATGGGCCTTTGCGGTCAGCACCTCGGGATCCCCGCTTGGACCTCTGAGGTTAACTCTTTGCTTGCCCGAGAAGCCCCAAGGAGCAATCACTGGACTAGACTCCTCCGTGCTGGGAGCCATAATATTTTTAAATGTGTTTTTGTGACTCTCTGCCCGTCCCCCAACACCACCAACCTTCCCTTTCATGCTGGCTGCCTCTGGAGATTTGAGCGAGTGCCAGGCCCACTCCTGGGCTGAGCTTCGGGTTTCTGGCCCCTGGGCTCCCCCCAGATGGCTGTAACCTGAGTATGCTGAGCTTTCTGGGATGCATGAAGGAAGAGCGCCCTGCAGGTTCCCAAGGGACTTCCCGTGGCGGCGCGTCTGGCGTACTACACACACACAGACACACACACAGACACACACACACACACACACACACACACACACACACAGAAACATGCACGCGCACGGACACACATGCACACACCAGTAGCCCTTCCCACATGCACCTGTGGGCCTGCCCATTTCCAAGGAAGGGGATGAGGGTGAAGATGTAGTTCCTAGGGCCAAAAACTAACCTTGGGCTCATGGCTAACTTGTACCTGCAACCCGGCAGGGAAGGGTCCTTCCTGAGACTCAGAGGGTGTCCCTTCACCCCTTCCAGTCTGACCCTTCAGTCTGTCTACTCCAGGATGACCTGAGAGGTTGGAAGTGGGACTCCCCTTAAAGGGCTGTTGCAGTGAAAAGGGGCGTTTTGGGGTATGGCATGACTTGGAAGGAGGACCCCAGAGCATTTGAATTACCCAAGGATGTGGAGGAACCAGTGCGGTGCAGCTAGGTATGGAAGTTGCCCCTGAATTCCTGGAGCTGACGATCTCTGCCTTTTTACACCTCGGCTTTCAAGAAGTAATGGGTGCCTGGGAGCCCAGGGCAAGCTGAGTGAGGAGCTGGAAGTCTCAAATCCTCCAGGAACGGTGCTTCAGCTAAAGAGTCTCCTGGCGCCCTCTGCTTGGAGCCACCCGCCTCCTCTGACGCACGTGGCAGAGCCTGTAGGCTGGGGACTGCGTGCCGTGGAGTGGCAGGGTGCTGTCCTTCTTGGCAGCTCTGAGCCCTTTGGATGCATGTGGGGAATTGTGTTCCCACCTCCTCCTCCTCCCCCCAGCGCCCTGGACTGGCAGCTCAAGGCGCTCCCGCGGGGGGATTTGGCTAGCGAGGTAGTCACCAGATGGCTGAGTATAGCAGGAGCTGTGTAGGGAGACGTGGGCTTTTTATTTGTGTTGGTCTTCCGCTGTTTGCATGTAAACACGGAGTGCACAAAGAGCTCTGGGAGGGCCAGGCTGGCTGGAAATGAAGGTTTGGAAGGTGGAGAACTATGAGTCATTTATGGCCATATCTGTCCCAGGCAGGGTCCAGAGGCAACCCAATCCCATCGTCCCATCCCAGACCTTTTAAACATCCTTGCCTACTGTTTGTCTCCTGTGCATTGGGAGACTTTCCTACTAGCTCACCACTTCAGGGGATTTGTTGATGGCAAATGCCAAATCCCACCAACAGTGGGGTGCATGGAGCCACCACTAGGGGGTGATGGTATCTGCCAAAGCCCTCAGGCTTCGCTTTGGACTGTGGGCCCAGGGTTGGTGGTGGTAAAATGTTGTTGCGCTGAAGGGGGTGAACAAACAATAAAAAGTAGAATTCCCATTTTACTCAAAGGTCAACTAGGGGACCTTAAGTCTACTTTGCAAACACTGCCTCCCATCACCATTCACCAAAGCTACCTCCATACCTGGCTGTACCTCCCTCCATTTTGCCTCTCTTATTTGAGTTATTGGCTCTATTATTGGTAATGCTCAGACTTAGGGGTCTTTTTTTCAGGCCTTTTCCTCTTCGTTTTTCTTCTCTCCCCATCATGCCCCAGCCTGCTTTATGTGTCCTGAGATCCCTCAGAGGTGAAGTGTCCTCCAGATTTCTATCTCAGGGCCTCATCTTTAGAATCTGATTATGTCAGTGGCACTGACAAAGTGAATTTCCTTGAAAGTGCTCAAGGAATAGCAAATAGTTAATTGAATCCTTAATGTGGTGCTAAGAGCTTTACACTTGCCTTTATTGTGAATTCACATAAAATACATGGAATGGGCACTGGTGTTATTCCCATTTTATGAATTAGGAAGCATTCTTAGGTCAAATACCTAGTCCAAGGTCACACTGTGAATAAATGGAAGACCCGGAACTGGAATCTCATTCTACCAGACACCTGCATTCTTGGTAAATGCTAAGTAGACACCTGAGCCAAATCTGCATGGAGGGGCTGGTTACATTTATGTAGGGCATGGTGCAGGGTCCTGGAGAGAAATAATAACTATCGTCAACATGACAGGAACCTTTCTCAAAGGAACTTCAGCTACATTGATGCACAGAAATATGAGAGTTTGAACATGAACCCTGGCTTAAATGACCTCCAATGACCCTGCCAGCTCAAAGTGCCAAGACTCATGGAGTGTCAAGCATTGTGTCTAATGATGCCAATGAGTGATGGAGATGACATGTTCTGAAACATCAGGGAGGGATGACATCTCTATAGACTCAGAGAAGGCTGGGGACACTTCCTGGGTAGGTAAAGAGCTCAGGAGGCCTTGGAAGATGGGCTGGAGGAGAAGCTGGAGGCTCTGGTACAGCGTGGGAATGTACTGTTGGTGAGAATCTGGAGATCTGAGCTGTGGCCCACTGTGACCTTGAACAAACCATTTATCCCCAGAGTTTCAGTTTTTTGTACTGTAATATGAGTGGGTGGATGAGCCCTAAAATAATCCTTCTGTGTGAAGATTCTATGAACTTGAAGTGCCCTGATGTGCTCTGTTACTCTGACTAGCTCCCCTTGCTTCTCACTCTCTCCTTTCCTTTGCCAGTAACACAGGAGTGTTGGGAAGGAGCAAGTGAAAAGAAATAATTTGAATAGGAGCAACTTCCAGGGCAGGGCTTCTGAGGTCAACCCACAAATCACCCAGTCCTCATCTGCCCCTAGGCAGCCCCAGTGTCTGCTAGTGGATTTAGCTTTCATACCCACAGGTGGGGAAATGGCACCCTTCTTCCTGTGCTTCATAGTGGCCAGTCTGGACTGTTTACGACCAGCCTCGATTTGGCAAAAGGGGGAAAAAGAGATAAAATTGAGTGACCACTCACTGTCAGTATTTCCTACTTATTTGCCTTGTCATTAATCACACAGGTGAGGAGTGTGCTCTGTGTTTGGGGGAGGGCTGTGAAGAAGGAGAAATCATCTGGTAGTAAGTCTTTAAATGCACATGAGTAGATCTGGCAGTGTCCTGAAGGTCTGTCCCCAAAGGATGCTTTGTGCATGACCATGATTGGTCTAGGTGGAAGACAAAGGCAGGTCAAAATGCTAACTTGGTCAAGTCTGCAAAGATTTCTTAAAATACAGCCAAAAGTGGGCATCAAAAGAGAAAAGCCTCTCGAAGGAGTGAGGAACCAGGGACCAGGTCAGAAGTGTTGCTTGAAGCTGGAAATTTAGCCAGAAAGAACAGTCCACAGTGGGCTGGGAGAGCTTCCTTCAAATGTCAATAGGAAGTGAAGAAAGTTCTTTTTTCTGTCTTGTTCAAAGGGTACAAATACTAAGGGATACAGTTCAACCCCACGGGAGGCTGTGTCCCAGGGTGCTCTCCCACACCTGGCATTCTGACCCTAATGATGATAGGATCCACTTCAGATCTACCCTGCTAAAAATGTTTATGTATGCTATTCAGTATTGTTAACTATAGACACAATGTTGTACAGTCGATCTCTAGAACTCAACCATCTTGCATAACTGAAACTGTATACCAACTGAATAGCAATTCCCCCTTCCGCCTACCATAGAGTCATCTTTGATTGTTTTGATCTCTTGGCTTGCCTTAAGCAAAGACTATACCACTATTTAGCAGGAATTTGGAGAAAGGACCCACTCCCTGGGAGATGTTGAGGCTA